GAAATAGCAGATTCAGTTAATAGTCTGTTTCTCTCTCTTTTTAAGGTTCACAGTTAATAGAAGAATTTCAATTGTAGGATTTGGATTATATGGTTCTATTCATGGTCCCACAGATTATCAAGTTAATATACAGGTACATTTGTTTTTCAAGTTTATAATGAGTGACGTTTGTTGAACTGAATTCAGGGATATTCTACTATTGGGAAACACTGAGCTCGGTTGTTTGCAGACATTTCATTACCTAACTAGGTAGCATGATCAGTGCATTAATATTCTAACAATGTATCACTTAGGATGGCTCACGTTAGGTTAAGAGGAAACTGGGAAAAGATATCTGTTTCAAATGTTGTTACACAATTATTTTAACAGGGGGTAAATATTTAAGTAATGGCAATATTAATTATTACTATTAACAAGTAGGTGAGTATTCTAAAGAGAAAAATGTATTTTGTAAGCATGAAGGTATACAAATGCTTCATTATCAATTTTCTCTCTCTGAATGAGCCATTCAGCATTTAGTAATGGAAAGATCTGACTTTGAAACAAATTCATTTGACCTTTACCATGCTTTAATTAAAGAATTCATGAACAATGCTTTACAAGCTAATTGAATACATTTAATTTCATAGGTGATTTAAAGTACAACTGTCAATCTGGAAATGAACTTCTTTCAAAACCATAGCTTCTTTAAATATAAATAATCGGCTTGTAGGTGCTTTCCAGCCAAGAAATAAAGGTTGAATGTTTTGGTGATAGTTTAGGTCTGTGATGGAAATAAAGTTATTTGCTTGAATAATTAGAAATGCATTATGCCCATAATTATGGAGAAGTTAACAGGTTTTTAAACCTCTTCTTAGAAGCAATATGCCATTCTGTTTTAATTAAATCACACCTCACCTTCACCTGAGAACATGTCTCACAGGATGATGCAAATAACATGATACACATTTGAATTGTTTTAATCTATCACCAGTCTATAAAACAACATGCAAAGGATTGAATCAGCAGCTGCCATTAAAAGCAATCAGACAGCATGTCAGTGATCAGAATAAAGGGAAGTATTGTGTTCCGTTGTGTACATCGTGTCTCCTTGGTTGCCGTTTGGGAGTGAAGATAGCTAGAGAATTTCTACAATGATTAGTAAACATTATGAGCTGTGCCCAGAAATAGTAAATAACTGGCATAAAGGCAGGAGTGGGAAGTTAATATTCCTTCATTTTGAACTGTATATCTACTTTTTTCTTTTTTTTCTTTTTTTTCTTTTGGCAACAGTACAAAACTGGTGTGCTGTTAGTTGAGACCAGCCAAGGTGTTACCATAGCAAGAGCTGATATCGTTCTTCCAATATTGGTTAGGAGCAGATGTCTCCACCAATTTATTCCTTGATGCTGACTTAGCTCCCTGCCTTTATTAAATGTTGTTGGTAAAAGTGAAGTTTATATGTTACGAAGTATTATCTTCGAGTGATAATATTTACTTCCTAGGATGTTACTGGGAATCTACAAGGCCCCAGAGGCAGTTCAGATGTGCCCATTGGTTCTCAAGAATTAGGGGCGCCTGCTTTGTAAGCAAGGACATTAATCACACTTTCCAGTTGAAGGTCTAATTTCACCACAATTTCTGAAAGTTTTGTTTGTTAGCGCCTCAGGCTAACATTTGGGTGTGGAACTGGATAAGATAAACAGGCTTCAATAGTTCTGGCTATGCTTTGCTTAAGCTTAGAAAATACGTTCCTACAAGAATAAAAAAAAAATTTGCATCACTTTTTTCCTACAGATAATTGAATATGAGAAAAACCAGACTCTAGGGCAAAATGACACTGGATTTAGCTGCGATGGAACAGCCAGTACCTTCAGAGTTATGTTCAAAGAACCAATAGAGATTTTGCCAACCGTGTGTTACACTGCTTGTGCAACCTTAAAAGTAAGGCCCTTTTTGAAATTGTGGGAAATAGTAACTATAAAGCAATGAACAAACGATGTGAAGACCAAGGTCGTCTTTGACTTACAACAGTTCATTTAATGACCATTTGAAGTTACAATGGCACTGAAATGGCATTTGGATCGTTTGACCATTTTTCACACTTACGACTGTTGCGGCATCCCCGTGGTCACATGATCAAAATTCAGATTCTTGGCAACTGACTCCTATATTATAACGGTTGCAAGTGTCTTTTGTGACCTTCTGACAATGGGGAAGCCAGATTCATTTAACAACTATGTTCCTAACTTAACAACTGCAGTGATTCACTTAACAACGGTGGCCAGAAAGGTCATCAAATGGGGACAAAGCTCACTTAACTGTCTCGCTTAGCAACAGAAATTCTGGGCTCAAATGTGGTCGTAAGTCAAGAATTCCCTGTATACTTCTAAAAATAATAATAATCTAGGAAATGCTTTTTTAAAACTTAAGTTCTGTTTGCTATAGGATGTCTCCTATAAAATCATAATGCTTTGCTTAGAATTTCTCATAGCCTAGGGTGCATTTCAAGTTTACTTATCCCAATTGTGAAGAGTGCTACAATAATGAATTTGTGCTTTTGTTTAGGGCCCTGATTCGCATTATGGCACAAAGGGTTTGAAGAAAGTGATCCATGAATCTCCAACTTCAAGCAAAACGTGCTTTTTCTTTTTTAGCTCACCGGGTAACAACAATGGAACATCAATAGAAGACGGACAAATACCTGAAATTATATTTTATACGTAACTTCAGAAAACGGAGATGGAGCAAAAGAAAAATTGCTTTGAACACGAACAGAAGGGAAACATAAAATACTGTGAATTTTTGTAAATACATAATCTCAGATGTGTTATAAAACTGAAGTGTTGTACACGGAGGGTAGCAAGCACTAGTATTCTCTACCTACAATGCCAAACTTTCTTGAACTAAAATATACTTATCTGTACATAAGTACTTAAACATGGTCATTTAAAATGTGCTAACCATAATCTGGAAGCTGGGAAAGAGCACTTTTTCCCCTGAAATACATTTGCGGCAGATTACATATCTGTGGATATTGTGATTGTGCTCCTGTACAGTGCAACACGTTAAACTGAGTTGTCATTCTTAAAACTAACCATGAATTAGAATTAAGGGTGATACAAATTTCATCCGTAATAGTATTGAATGCCTGTATATAAACTTAACTAGTTTTGTTGTGTATTGGAAAAGAAATGTTATCCAGAAGTCAGTTGTATGAAGCTATTCTTTAATTATAAAGTGAAGTGTGGATGAAATGAAGTATCTTTTTGAGTACTTGCAGAGATCTTGAATATTTTCAGTTTGTAAGGAAACAGTGCGGTAAATACGCAGTTTTTAAGGAAATTGGGCATTTTTCAAAGAACTATTAATCAAGTCCTGGTTTTCTCAAATGATAAATTGTTGGAGGAGATGGGTGATAATGCAATTATACATGCCTACTCAGAAGAAAATCTCAAGACCTCTTGGGGTACTGGAGGATTATTTCCTGATGATTGGGATAATTATGGCTCAGATTTTGCTTACTACTTACCAGTTCATGCAGTCTTAAACCCTTAAGTCTCAGTTTCTGCTTATAAAGTTAACTTTGCTGAGGGTTTTCTGCTAGGATATTCTAGCTGGCATGTAAAGTTACTTGAAAATACTGGATATATTTGAAGAGGTGAAACTGAAAAGCACATTTGCTATAGATGATGCTTGGGAGTCAAAATTATTCAATTGCAAACCCTCATCCCTAATACTAATTATCAGTTTTGGATTCTAACTATCCTATAGAAGCTTTTGGCTATGATTACAATGATCTTAATCCTGCCTGCAGTAATATAACTGGTTTCTGATTCTAGATCTGCTTACGTGGCAGGCCATAAGTATTCAAAATGTAACTAGATTCAGAAGCACAAAAATACATGACTGAAGAAACAATAAAAATAAGTTATAATCAAAATACACAGGCCCCGGGATACCTAGGAATGTATTGGAATTCTAGGTGCAGACTTAGTGAAATTCAAAGCACGTAAGGCAGCAATGGCCCTTTATACAGTGTGCATTAAATTAAATCTTCCATTGTCCAATGATGGGCATTGTGGTCTTAACAGGAAGGACATTCTTGTGGAAGGCTACTTTAACACTCTGGATAGTTGAGTGGGCAAATCTTCAAACTCAGCTATTATTTAAGGACTCCCTCTGAATGTGAGAATTAATGGCTACAGGAATACATTTTCTTTTTTGGCAGGTTAGGGTAGCCTTACCCAACGCACTTGAGACTAAATCCTTTTTCAGTTTGTACAACACATTGAGCCATCAACTAATCCGGTGTTTGTCCTACTTGATAACTTTTTAAGATGTGTGAACTTCAACTTCCAAAATTCCCCAGCCAGGCGGAATTGAAGTTTACCCATCTTTTGAAAAGTTTTCAAGTTTGAGAAAAATTGAACTAAGGCCAATGGGCATGGCCAATACATCATCCTAAACCAATATCCCACCTCCAGCCTTTTAATTCTAAGTTCACACTGCTGAACTAGCTCTGAATTTTCTGTTAGATTTTGAAATGACTCTATGTGCAGTGTGAAGATGCCCAGACGCTGAAAATCTAGACCTGCTTTATAAATGTAATTTAGAACAATAGAATTAGAATTCTTTATTGGCCAAGTGCGTTTAGACCCACGAGGAATTTGTCTCCAGTGCACAAGCTCTCCGTGTACATACAATAGTGATCATTATCATAGAATAGAATAACATTGTCACTTTAAATTTACATTAATCGGGATCCATGAAAATGAAATTCCTTGCACTCAGCTCTCAAGACTATTTAAATTTAATTAATTTACAAATTTAATTAATTTAATTCACGTAGTCGTAGGAATCTTTTTTTTTTTAATGGCCAAACTTGGATACCCATCCGAGCTTGGTGCTCTTAAAAACCGCTCGCTTCCTCCGCAGCTTTTGCTAAAAGCTATCCCGCAGCTGAAAGCATTCGGGAAGCGCCTCTACTTTTTTCTATCTCTCAAGAGCAGGGCCGATCGGAAAGAACAGGCGGAAGTGACGCAGACCCCCGCGATGCTGGGTTGGGCTTTTCCGGCTTTCTGTCGCCGTTCGGGGTCTCCGGTTTGGGCTGCCGCGGGACAGGGATATGCGATGCCCCGGAAGGTCAGGCCCGGAGTGGGGACGCCGCTGAAAAGGCTGCAGGCCTCGCACGGGCGCTTGAACTACAAGCCCCTTCGTCTCCTACCTTGCTTCCCCCTTGGAGGGATGATGGGAGTTGTAGTCTGGCAGTCCTGGAGACGCTGCTCTTCCGGGTTTGGAGTGACCCACAGCCAAGATGAGCGCAAAGGGGCGGAACCCGTCCCTTTGGGGGGGACGGGCCCTTGGGATAATTGAGGGGCCCAATGCAATGGGGGGGGGAGGCAGCCTTTGCTCCTGCTCAGGGTTGGGGGGGGTGTCTGCAGAGGCACCCCGTTTTCCATGGGAGCTGGAAAAAAGTGACTTCGCGTTTCTTTTGCGCAATAGCATTTAGACTTATATGCTGCTTTACAGCCCTCTCTAAGCGGTTACAGAGTCAGGATATTGACCCCCCCCAACAATCTGGGCCCTCCTTTTACCTACCTGGGAAGGCTGAGTCAACCTTGAGCCATTTAGGATCGAACTCCTGACAGTGGACAGAGTTAGATTGCAATATGACACTAAGTACTGTGCCACCAGGAAGGAGAATGAGAAAGGGAATAAGAGAGTGAGCTAAAAAGGAAGGAAGGAATAGCAATAGCACTTACATACAGCTTCACAGTGCTTTTACAACAGTCTCTAAGCAGTTTACAGAGTTAACCTGTTATTCCCCCCAACAATCTGGGTCCTCATTTTACCCACCTCGAATGGATGGAACACTGAGTGCCCTCAAACAATGATTATTATATGTACAGTGACCATGCATCCTTTATTATAAAGGCCAGTCCTTTAGATTTATTTAATTTAATGACTTTCTGGGTTTTGCTCTTGAATTTCCTTTTGTAAAGCAAAGCAGGGTTTTTTTTTAAATCTTTGGGAACCTCTTTCAGATTTGCTTCTCTTTCAGGTTTGCCCAAATGCCCCTTTTCAAAAAAATAAGGTCACCATAGTTATGTGCCATCACATCATTTTCAACTCCAAGCCACCCCATATGTTGACTTTCTCCATGATCAAACAGCCCTGGCAGCAAATAAATGAGAGGGAGGGAGGGATGTTGGGTGGGAAAGATGGTTGTTTATTAATTAAACTTATATGCCCATCTCACTGTCAAGGACTCATTTTGTGTTTTGATTTAAGGGGAAAGCACAGACCAAGGACTTTGTAAAGCCTTCTGTTCTCCCAGTTCCAGTGACAACGGATAAAAATGGTTCTGTTGTTATCTCTGTTCATGCCAAACCAGTATCTAAACAAAATGCTGTAACAGGTAAGTTAGAGCATAAGTACATAACGCAACATCAACAGGGTTTTGGGTAGAGGTCTTGCCCTGTGGCCCAGCAAGATTTCCTCAAAGAAATAATTTGAGAATGAGGGTTGTCTGAATGAATCCAAACAGTTTGCTTATTGCAATAAATAGCTACAGGAGAGGTTTTTTTTCACTCTACTTTAGATAATAGAAACACTTGAAATGGTGATGTTGGTCTTTATGTATGGGAGGCATTTAAGAGCGTGGGTTAAGAGAAGCTTCAGCTAAACTACTCCACAGCTATGTCTATAAATATCTATACTAATGTTGATGTTACATATAGGTGAGAGATTCCAAAGAGGCATTTTAGGGTAGCAGTTTAACAGAAGTGATGGCTTACCTCCTAAAATACTTGTTGCAGATCTGACCACTGATGCAGTTAGCGTGGCCATCGCAGCCCCTCCATCCGAAGGGGAAGCCAATGCAGAGCTCTGTCGCTACCTCTCTAAAGTCCTCGAAGTCAAGAAGAGTGATGTGGTGCTGGAGAAGGTACACTATTCAACTTGGGCTCTTGAACCTTCCTCTGCAAGTCAATGGGGAAAGAATCCATTTCAGAATCCCTAATCCCTGCTTGTGTTTTTGAAACAGGGGAGTAAATCTCGAGAAAAAGTTGTGAAAATTTTGGCCCCGCTGACTCCAGAGGATGTTTTAGACAAGCTGAGGAAAGAGAGTTCCAGCTGAAGCTATTTCTCCAGGCGCAAAGGATGACTTCATTTAGGTGCATGAGAGCTCACAAGTACAAGTGGTGGAGAACCCAACAAAAAATGTGTACACGGCTATAAGATGCAAAAAAGGGTTTGGTTATTTTAGCCTCATATTAACAAGGTGCAGAGTTATTTGAAAGAACCCCACTGGACCCTGAAGATAACCTTCCTCAGTCCATCTTGACATTCTTTTCAAGTAACTTAGTTTGTTTAACTGGTCAGGAAGGCATTAGCCATTTTCACTGCATCAAAGTGATTCAAGAAAGGCATCATGTAGCTGTGATAGATATCTCATCTATATGAAACTTTGGTAAACAGGCTTGGTGGGTTATTGCTCACCTCTATAACCAGAGATCATTATGAGTTAATTAAAAAAATGCAGGGCACCATTTTTCATGTTCAGATACTTTTGTCAGTAAAGTGCTTAGACAATACGTGAAAAATCTGTTTTGACTTTGTTAGGTACAGTGTGTTTTTTTCCCTACAGTTGCTCCTGTAGCAAAATCTGAGCTTTGTATTGTTGGATGCAGAAAATGTGTCTTCAGTTTTATATTTGTATTTGTTAAACCATTGGTCCATTAATTTGTTTCCATCACAGGGAAGAAACAATAATGTGCCTCCCCCTTGAATTAGAGAAAGGTTTTTAAGGCAGTCTGAATTCTGGTTTTGCAACAGCCTGCCCCTGCATCTCCCCCTCGTTTCCCAGGAGGAATGTTGACTTAAACATTTAGAAATAAAAAAGTTCCTGCAGATTTCACTCTGCTAGTCCAGCATGATAATATATAGGAGGGAGGGAGGGAGAGAGAGAGATAACTGCAAGTTGGCAGTTCAAATCCCACCAGATTCAAGGTTGACATAGCCTTCCATCCTTCTGCTGTGGGTAAAATGGGGACCCAAATTGTTGGGGGCAATATGCTAACTCTGTAAACTGCTTAGAGGGCTGTAAATCAGTATAAAGTGGTATATAGGTCTAAATACTATTGCTATGACATCACAGAGCACTGTTATCTTCCCACTAAAGTGGTACTTCTTTATCTACTCGCATTTGCATGCTTTCGAACTGCTAGGTAGGTAGGAGTTGGGGCGAAGACGGGAGGTCATCTCGGAACATGGAGCTCAGGTCTTGAAAAGGAGACATTTGGGGTCCTTTAAATCTCTCCTTCTCACTGTGTTATTGTTGTTTTTTGTCCCTATGCTTGACAAAATGCCTCGCTCCTTTAAAAATAAACCTGGCTGATATTTTGTCCACTGGATTTTATGATTTTTATTTCAATTATTTTATTCCATTGATATCGCTGCCCGTCTGGCAAAGCGACTGTTGACCTGTGGTTGCAAGACTCCCGTTCATATCACTGGAAGCCCATTGGTTTCATTGCCAGTTGTGGTATTAGTGGCAGGGAGAGAAAACATTCTGTTATTAAACCCAGGGAATGTTCAATGTTGTTGTTTTGACTTAAACTCTGTTCGTTCCTCCTCATTGTGCTTCTTCTCTTCTTCCTGTGTAATTTATCTTAAGGCCCTAGATTTGCATTTCAGTCCTTGGCAAATTAAAAGAAATTGTTCATTTCCTCCCCGCACTCTTCCTCTCGGTCTTGCTTCTCCATTCTCAGGACGCACCCGTGAGCCCTCCGTGCTCATAAATTCAAATCATTCCAAGGGATAAAAGCCTTTTCAGGAATGCAGCCATAATTTCCCCAGGCGCCAGCAACAGCAGCAGCAGCAGCACAACAACAAAAAGCTTTGCCTTTGGTTCTTCCTTCCCCCTCATTAGTCTCACTTTGTGTCCATGAGCTCTGTCTTGTTCCGGTTTCTTGTTCTCATGGGTTCGTGTTTTTCCCCCCCTTTACATAAGATGATGCATTGCTCAATCATCAGGGCTGTTCTTCTAACCCAGGGGTGCCAAACTCAATTTCATTGAGGGCCGCATCAGGGTTGTGTTTGACCTTGGAGGGGCCAGGGGGCGTGGCCAGCTCGACGTCACTCATGTTGGGGGTGCCTGTGGCGGCCCAAGTGCTCTGCCAGCGAAAACGGGTTCCCGAGCTCTGTTTTCAGCTGCGACGGCCTCCTGCAACCCCCTGCCAGCGAAAACGGAGCTTGGGAGGGCCTCCTGCTGGCCTCCCAAGCTCCATTTTCACTGGCAAGGACACTGCAGGCTGGTCCTTTGCTGTTCCCAGGGCAGCCCTGCAGGCCAGTGTAAGCACCTTGCAGGCTGGATCCGGGCCCCGGGCTTTGAGTTGGACACCCCTGTAGTAGCGGTATACTCTTATTTAAGAGCAAGAGGGCTTCCAAATTAGGTTTGAAACCTAGGTAGGCTACAGTCTTGAAGGACATGATGGTGAAGGGGCCTCCTGGAGCCACCAGACTGGATCTAGCTAATTTCTGCTTAATCAGATTGCTCCATTTTAGCTTGTTTACCTTGCTTCAGAAATTAGGTTACAACTCCCGCAAAGCTATTTCCAGCCCAAGGGCATCTAAAAGTCTGACTCCACTTTCTAACGAAGACATTATCCGAGGTGGAAAGCAGCCAGATGGCCTGGAAACAGCATTCAGCTTTCTGAAGGAAATCTTATCCGACCTGCATCCAGATGTTAAGGAAAAGGAAAAATACATTTTTTCCAATCAAATATGGCTGTTGATGATGGTTCCATGCCTATTGCTCATCGTCACTCTTTGAGAAGACGACAGAGGCTGGGTTTACAAAATATGTTAACCCATCAATCCATCAGAATAGAGCTGGAAGGAACCTTGGAGGTCTTCTAGTCCAACCCTATACAATTTGAGACAAAGTGGCTGGCTGTCCAGTTTCTTCTTAAAACCCTCCAGTAATGGAGCACGCACAACTTTTGAAGGCAAGCCGTACTACTGTTCAATTGTTCTCACTGTTAGGAAATTTCTCCTTAATTCCAGTTTGGGGTATCAAATCAATCAGAATAGAGCTGGAAGGAACCTTGGAGGTCTTCTAGTCCAACCCCCTGCCCAAGAAGGAGACCCTATGTACCATTTCAGACAGGTGGCTGTCCAGTCTTTTCTTAAAAGCCTCCAGTGATGAAGCACCCACAACTTCTGAAGGCAAAGCCGTTCCACTGGGTAATCGTCTCTTTAATTCCAGGTTGCTTCTCTCCTTGATCAGTTTCCAACCATTGTTTCTTCTCTTGCTTTTTCTGGTGCTTTGGAACCAATCAATTTTCTAGAACCACTTTAGGGGGCAGTAAGAATACAGGTAACCCTCAACCTGTGGCCATAATTGAGCCCAAAAGCTTAACGTGTGTGGTCTTGATTCTTCACACCTGATACAGATTGAGCAAGGAATCTAGCAAGAGCTTACAGAGCTTATTCTACTGTATAGCGCAGTGTTGGTGCGGTGTCGGGGGGTTTCAGTGCAATGTGTGGAGTGTGAAGGATGTGTGTTTGTGTTTATTTTCATGGTCATGATGTGCCCTGAAGAGGGTGTTTGATTTTGTTGTACGAGGTGCAATGACAATAAAGTAAAGTAAACAGAGTACCCACTGATGGCATTATCTGGCAGGATTGACAGTTGGATCTCTTTCCCAGGCAAAGGATTCCTCCTATTTTCCTTTAAGAACCTATCCCACAGCCACCTGAAGATGTCAGGGCATGCTCGGAATGGGTGGCACAGCAAAGTCAGGATCACGGGGAACATTTCTCTTCCCCAGCCTGCTTGATCTTGCCTCCCGAATAACAACACCTTTCCGTGCTAATCTTTGCAGATCATCGGTCTCCTTAGAGGCCTCTTGTCAGGCAGGGAGGGTAGATGCTTGGGCATCCTCATGAATGAAGACGGGAGGAGATATCTGATTCAATAAAAGTTGCCCGTGAGTCTCTGTGGGTAGATGTAGCAATAAGTACTGAATTACTCTTTCAACATGAGCCAACAGGTTGAGGAGGGAAGTGGGCTGAGGCTGAGCAGTAACTCAGCTTTCCAGATACTTAACCCCGTATTAAAGCATTTGGCTTAACTTGGACCTTGGAAGGAGGGAAGGAATACACACACACACACACACACACATATACACATACATATATAAAATATATTATATTATTATATATGTTTTTGTAGATTTTCACGGGTACAAGTATGTAGGTCTAGGTATGTTCGGGTCTTTTCCCGTGTAAGATTAAGAGTATCTTGGCGACGTTTCGGCGAGGTCCCACTCACCATCCTCAGGCTGGTGCTTTTGGCTTCGTGCTTACACTGGTATGGTATGTATGGTATTTAGCTTTGTTCAGGTATTTTCCCACGTCATTATAGTTGTGCTTTTAAAGTTATCGTGACATTTTGACAGAATCTCATCTGCCATCATCGGGCTTGTGTATTGTGTTCGTCTGTGAGTCAGTCTTTCACAGCCGTTTCTGTTTTAAATTTGGTGCTAGCCTACTGCTGTGCCAGAATGGTTTTTCCTTCATCCTAATTGGTTGGGAGTCTTGGTCTGTGTTTATTGGTCTTGGAGTTTGCTGTGTTCTGCTGTGTTCTTCCTACAGGGCAGTGCCAGTATGTCACCTCTAATGAATCCTTTGAAGGTTTTTGAAGTTTGGCTCGGGAATCATGATTTAATTAGAGCGAATATTTTTAGGAAATAATCAAAGTGTTTACAACAATATTCACTACATTGGTTTTATAGCAACAACAATAATAGTAATACTAATAATACTAATAGTAATAATAATAGTATAATAGTAGTAGTAGTAGTAATAGGAATAATACTACCGTGTTTCTCATATAATAAGGCCGGGTCTTATTTTTTATTTTTTGAGCCCCGAAAAATGGCTAGGCTGTCTTTTCGGGGGTGACTTAATTCCCCCCTCCCCTTGCATCTTCGGGCAGGCAGGCAACAATGGCTTGGATGTTGACCTCGGCGTTGGTGGGGCACTTCATATTGGGGTCAACGCAGGCAGCACCATATCCGGGTGTGCAACAAAAGTATTTCCTAACGGCAAGCCCCCCCCGCCATTTCCCCCCATTTCGCATGTTTTAATATAGGCCTTAATTTGGGGGGAGGGGCTTAATTTCATTTCATGCCTATAAAACATGCTGGGACTTCCTATTGGGGGAGGCCGTATTGTTGGAGAAACAGGGTAATAGTAGTAATAATAATAATACTACTAATAATAGTAGTAGTAGTAGTAGTAGTAATAATAATAATAATAATAATAACTATCACAATTATGGAGAGGAAAAAAGTGTGAATTGTTGACATTGCCATACCTGGTGACAGCAGAATCGATGAAAAACAACCTG